TACACTTCTATTCGGATCCGCATGTGGCTAGAGGGTGAAGCTCATCTCTCTGTGTCCTCCAACAGGTGGTCAAGCAGCTCATGAAGAAGAACTTCACCCTGGAGTTCTCCCGTGACAGGAAGTCCATGTCCGTGTACTGCACTCCCGCTAAGGGTGATGGTGGTGCCAAGATGTTCGTGAAGGTCCGTTTCCTCTTTCCTCCTTGTCACGACTTTTGGCAAAACCAGCACTCCGATGATGCTGCATTCACCACAACACGAAATAATCGTCCTGTTCTCTCTGCAGGGTGCCCCCGAGGGTGTGATTGACAGGTGCGCATATGTGCGTGTTGGCACCACCCGCGTTCCCCTGACCAACGCCATCAAGGAGAAGATCATGGCTGTTATCAGAGACTGGGGTACCGGCCGTGACACCCTGCGTTGCCTGGCCCTGGCCACCCGTGACACCCCCCTGAAGCTGGAGGAGATGAACCTCGAGGACTCAACCAAGTTCGCCGATTACGAGGTGAGAACACAACAACCTGATTTGACTAGACGTTGAAATATGTTGATAGAACTTTAACTACATGTGACAACTTGGACTGACCCATTCACACTTTGCTCCTCAGATGGACCTGACCTTCGTTGGCTGTGTTGGTATGCTGGATCCCCCTCGTAAGGAGGTCACTGGCTCCATTGAGCTGTGCAGGGCTGCTGGAATCCGTGTCATTATGATCACTGGTTAGTATTACAGATGGGTCGAATTCGTGATTTGGAATTGTGCTTTGATGTCCTCCGTTGTAACCGAATCAAGATCTACTGAGTTTAAACAGGACTGAATGTTTAAAACTTTAATTATGCAGCATTTTTTATTAATATTTTTTAGAAATAATTGCTGATTTGAGTTTTCTGTTAAAGGAAAACAAAAGTGTGATCCTGTAAAGTTTTGAAAGTAAAATCAAAATTGAAAATATTTAATCATTAAAAGAGTAAATAAAACATACTGTGCATTAAATTCCTTCCTTTTAAAAAGCAATTTGCCAGTTTACTGGAATGTTTTCTACTTTAGCTTTACAGAAATTACAGTGTGCTGTAGACGGAATATCTTGCATCACAGAATTACCTTTTTTATGAGCAAATTCTGGTCATGGGTTGTGTGTCTGTTAAAACTATATACAGTGTTGTGTGTTCTCCAGCAGTTTATGGTAAAATGTTTGTTTGACACCTCAGAAACTTTAACAACTTTTCACCAAACGTCTCCTTCTCTACATGTCAGGTGACAACAAGGGAACTGCCATCGCTATCTGCCGTCGTATTGGCATCTTCGGTGAGGATGAGGATGTTGAGGGCAAGGCCTACACTGGACGTGAGTTTGACGATCTGCCTTCCCACGAGCAGTCTGAGGCTGTGCGTAGGGCCTGCTGCTTTGCCCGTGTGGAGCCATCCCACAAGTCCAAGATTGTTGAGTTCCTGCAGGGTTACGATGACATTACTGCTATGGTAAGAGCCCAGCAGTCAAGGATATACCTTCAACTTGATACAGACACAGTCCCTGTGTAGTTACAGTAGTTCAACTGTTCAATCTCCTTCCCCTCCAATCCCAGACTGGTGATGGTGTGAACGATGCCCCTGCCCTGAAGAAGGCCGAGATCGGCATCGCCATGGGCTCTGGCACTGCCGTTGCCAAGTCTGCCTCTGAGATGGTCCTGGCTGACGACAACTTCTCTTCCATTGTGGCTGCTGTTGAGGAGGGCAGAGCTATCTACAACAACATGAAGCAGTTCATCCGCTACCTCATCTCCTCCAACGTCGGTGAGGTCGTCTGGTAAGCGGCCTGAGGACAACACGGTGAACATATAAATGCCATCTTTCTGTCTGTCACCGGCTAACCTCAGTTTTATTTCCTTTTTCACCCCCTCAGTATCTTCCTGACCGCTGCTCTGGGTCTGCCTGAGGCTCTGATCCCCGTCCAGCTGCTGTGGGTCAACCTGGTCACTGACGGTCTGCCCGCCACCGCCCTGGGCTTCAACCCCCCCGATCTGGACATCATGGGCAAGCCCCCACGTTCCCCCAAGGAGCCTCTGATCTCTGGCTGGCTGTTCTTCAGATACATGGCTATTGGTGGTAAGTAGGACGACAGAGACTTTGTGTGGGTTTCATTTGAATTTAAGAAAACACGTACCTACACTGACAGTGTTCTCTCACCTTCACAGGATACGTCGGTGCTGCCACTGTTGGCGGTGCTGCTTGGTGGTTCCTGTACGATGTAACTGGTCCCAATGTCAGCTACTACCAGCTGGTAAGTGACTGCTTCATGCTGCCTTCCACAGACACTGTGATGCAGACACTTCCTAACATCACTTCTCCTCTGTGCAGTCCCACTTCATGCAGTGCCACGATGAGAACGAGGACTTCGCCGGCATCGACTGCGAGATCTTTGAGGCTTCTCCTCCCATGACCATGGCTCTGTCTGTGCTGGTCACCATTGAGATGTGCAACGCTCTCAACAGGTACAGCTTCACATGTGTTTGAATGGGGATGTGCTTTTGATGATACACTTAATAACGTTGTTTCTGTCATGCAACACAGACATATGTTCTCATAATTCCTTTTCTTTTTCAAGCTTGTCTGAGAACCAGTCTCTGGTGCGCATGCCCCCATGGAGCAACTTCTGGCTGCTTGCCGCCATGACCCTGTCCATGTCCCTGCACTTCATGATCATCTATGTTGACCCTCTGCCCGTGAGTCAGACATTCCCTCTTTCTACAGCTTGATTTAACAGCTAGGGGTGTAAATCTCGCAGCTTTGTCCTCTGCGAGTTGTTCAAATTGCTCTCCTTTGCGAGTTTCCACCAGTTCTCACCTCCTTTCTTTTGCTCCCCAGATGATCTTCAAGTTGACCCATCTGAGCGTAGAGCAGTGGATCGTGGTCCTGAAGCTTTCCTTCCCCGTCATCTTAATTGATGAGGTGCTGAAGTTCCTCGCCCGCAACTACGTTGAGAGTAAGTAGCCTTGCATTTGTCTCCATCCACTCTAACATATTAAAAAAAAACTAAGACGTTTAATATAATAGCAGATATCCATTTTAACTCTACTCAGTGATTCATTGATTATTATTGTCATTTTTATTTTTACAATGGATTTATTAATATTTTAAAAAGTTCATCTTCATCTTGTTTGTCATTTAATTTTCATTACATCATCTCCACCCATAAATCCATCATAGGTTTAACGTTTTAATCTTTGTTATCACTTGTTGTCACTTCTCTTCATCCATCATTAACTCACTTAACCCCTTTTTGTGATTTCCAGACTAAATGCAATCAACCAACCACCATTAGCCTGTAACTAAAGCAAGGTATTCCCCAGCTCCCACTGCTGCTAGTGGCTATCACGGCGTATCTACCGTTTGTGTGTATGTTTGTGTTTTTTTGTCGTCTACCTGTTGTTAGACTCATGTTGACGTGGAATTCTGGGGTCTCCCTACAACTTAAGGACATCACAGGAAAACGAATTTTAAAGTTTTGACAATTTGAGAGTGGAGAGATGACTCCTGTATGGGGAGATCCCTGAGCGCTGCTGCCTGTAGGTGATGTTCTACGTCGAGCTCCGTCTTTCGTTTATTGTTATTTCTATTTCTGGCAAGTCGACTCAGTCACCTCTGAGTAGCTGCTGTCAGCGTTAGCCTCACGGTGCGTCTGTTTAAATGTTTATGTCCGTGGTTGGAGTGTGATCGATGCCTGTTCTGGCATCAGGTTTGTAGAAGTGCCTTTATAAACATTTAATAAATGGTTTATAACACTTTCTAGTATAGTTGATAGATAAAATGATGTCTCTTCAAGTGTTACAAACTGTAAATGTGAGCATCCTGGTACACAAGCAGATAATAAATAATGATATGACACAATAGACACAACACAGAACGTATGTTGGCAAATACACGATGAAACACTTTTCTTACATTTATCGATATCTACGTTACAATATGTTATAAACCATTTACTACATGTTTATTTCATAAAGTGTTGATTGTTTTGTTATTTTTTTGATTAGATTGCAATGCTCTTCATGTCCATATCTGACACATGAAAAGATATTTTTCTTCTTTGGAGCTTACATGTTCTTTGTGGTTCGATTTTATGCCTTGTGAGGCTACATTTGCTTGATTTTTTTTTTCCTATTTTAAAGCCTTTTGGTTTTTGCTTTAGGAGTCAGTTGAGCACAGTTTGTCCCATTTAGTGATTTTAACCACTGGGTCTAATTTTATTGGCAACCTGCTTATAACATTTATTGAAAAACTAAATCACTTTAAATGGTTTGAATTGTTCCTCGACTGACTGAACTACTTTGGGCTTTCAGAGAAAAGAAGTGGCTGAAGCTCAGAGATAGTTTGTTCACTTTTTTAGTTGTCTTTGATGTTAAGAGGTTCTCTTACAAATTCCATCATGCTTTCTGCCTGATGTTAGTTACATTTGGGAAGAATTTTTCAAAGTTTTGACTCAGCAAAGAATATACGTTTGTCAAGTGTTGTTCCTTCATTTGTCCAGAGGGTCGTCATGTCAGTGTCTACTGTCCGCCAAATGATGTGTCCAAAAGCCTTTTCCGTCTCTGATTCACCTGTTTCTCTTTCCCAGGTACAGAAGCTAAATAGAGATGTAGAAGAAGAGGATCTTAAGGGTTGAGGAGAAAGAGGCGGAGAAGAGAGAGAGAAAGATCACAACCAAAGAGGGGAGCCATAGTGAGCCATCCAATAGAAGAAAGAGAAGAAAACACAAGAAAATGTACAAAAAAAACAATAAAAGTCATTTTAATAAAAAGTCAACATAAAAAATAGCCTCCATATAAGGAAGGAGATTGAATTCAAATGAAGGGAAGTATCCCTGCTGATAAAGTATTCAAATATTTAAGATTTTATTCTAAGAAATAAAGTATGTATTAAAGGTGATTTTTTTGTTAACCTTGGATATTCTCAGCTGTTGTGTTTTTGTGTCCTCTGTCCATTTTCATATGATTGACTTTCCAGCTCTTTATTTTGATTCTAGTCTTTGTTGCTCGTGTCTCGCGCAGCCTCCCTGCTTTAGCTGGGCTCTGTACAGTGTGGTGTAGGGTTGCAAAATGACTTCATATGGGCAGAAAAACCAGCCTCCAGCTGCCAGCGCTCTCCATAGGCACCATGCAGTCAGCGGACTCTGTTGGAGGTCTCATGACATAAAATGGGCATGTCCACTCAGTCACAACACTTTTGGTCTTATATATTGTTTACGTGACAAGCTGCAATAAAGTGATTAAAAACTCATGTACTCATATTGTGGAGCACATTTTTATTGATCCTTTAATGCAGATATTTGGATGATTTCCTCTCTGTAGACGCGTCATTCGGTGCAGTGATTACAGCGTTTACCTCCCGCACATGACAAGCCAATCAAACCAGTTGAATATTCATTGTACATTTTGGTTTTTAGCTCGTGGCAAACTTTCTGTCGGTGTCGCTCGAGTGCTGCACAGTGTCAGTTCATCGATCTTTGGTTTGCAGAAGGAATTTGGAAAATCCCAAAATCCATTAGATGAGGGTCCTGAAGGGTATGTTGAAGCCCTTCATTTGCTTCTCATAATCTTCGTCGAACATCTTCGATTGCTCGGGTGTGAAATGGTTTTTCCAATCACCTACTTCACCTGTACAAAAAGAAAATGCAGAAGAGAAGGCAATGATGTTAGAGGAATGGATCAAAAGCTACATACAGAAGTCAGCTCTCTGTTTTCCTAAAGCTTCTGTGGTTGAATATTAGAGGTGCAACTTAGGATCATTTTCCTTTTGTTGCTTCGCCTGTTTAAATGTTTGCTTGATGAAATATCAGAAAACAGTGATAGAAGTTTCCCCGACTACATCCAAAAGTCTAAGCTGACATCTTGAAATTGCTTTTTGTGGACTAAAAATAGTAAAATTTAAAGACGTTCAAATTACAACCACGAAGTGCATGAAAAGCTGTAAATCTTTACATTTGAGGAGCTGCAACAGCAAAGTTGAGGCATTTTTGCTCGAATAATCCATGAAAATATGACAAAATGATCAAAATAAGTTCTAATTTATCAGTTATTGATTAGTAGCTTTAGTTATTCTGAGCATGAAGTTAAAGAAAATACAAGTTAAGGCAAAAGCTTCAGAAAAGCTCTAGGGGGCGACATTGCACCACGCTGAAGCACATTTCAGACGCCATGTCTTGATACAACAACGTAGTAGTGAGTCCTGTTGTTGACGAGCTTTTACTGATGTGTTAATGATGAGAAACAGGTTGATTTGACTGCCTGACATTATTATGTGAACAGATTTTTGTCTCGGCCTCTGTCTGGTGTATCTGAGATTCAAGATCACGGTCTTTCAATTTGACAGCATCATCAAACTCAAACTCTGCCCTCTCTGTCAGTGGAAAGAGAAATCTGCTTTGAACTGTTTGTCTGCACTCAGATATGCTGTTTCTTGCTTCAACTTTAATCGCTCATCGTAAATAGTAACCCTGAGGCTTTGGGGACTGCAAGTCCACAGGTCGACAGATCAATATAAACATTTTGAGTGCTGATTGATGCACCTTTTCTCATGAAGGGAGAGATGCTTGTATCAAAAACAGGCAACGGGACGCAGGAGTAGTTGGCCATCGGGTTGTCCTTCATTTTCTTAAAGGACGTGAGGTCCACAATTCGGTCGATGACTTCATCAGAGCACGACAAATCCAGGTACCTCATGATGCGCTCCACTTCACGCCGAGGATTCTGGAGGAGGAAAAACAAATGTTCAAACAGCTGAAGCAACACTCCATATCAGTATTATAAAACTGAGAACACAACCGCCACAAATGCTGCTACGTAAATTAAGTAAAAGTGAACGAAGCGATCACATCAAATGTAGTCAAGCAGCTTTAATTCATTTTTACTAATGATGTGTTTCAAAGATTTTTTAAAAAGACGGCCCATTTGTTGTTTATATGCTTCAAATTTTTTGAAACTCTCCATTTGCATGTACAGGATTTTGCCAGCAGAATCAGATTGTTTTGTCCAATGTTGCTGCTGGAAAGAAGAGATTTTGTTTTTCAAGCGTAGCCATGAGGACCGATTACAAAATGTGCACAGGCACTTGTTTCATTTCCTATTATATTTGTTATTTTGTGAATAATTTTCGTTGTTGGGGAAATAGTAGAAGTTAAAACGTTTGGTCTTAATTCATTACTGATACAACTTTTACGACATGCTTGGGTTAATCTGGGCTCATGTGTTGTACGTACCTCTTTCATGTCCTCGTAGAAGAGGTAAAGTATGTTCCTCTTCTCTCTCTCCTCCCAGAAATCTTTCACATGATCATACCAGGAGCCCCATGACACTGCAGAGACACAGCAGGAGTCATTCAAGCTGCTGTGAGGGAAAATGTTAGAGTACACGGCTTCCACCTTCTGATCTTTACTTTGGTTTGTATTTCAGCTACAGATCATTAACCTTTGGGTTGCCAAGCTGGGAACAATGATGTTTATCCTCCTCCAGCAGCACATTAGATTTTTTTAATGAGCACTTAAATTTGCCAGGAAGATTTTACTAATGAGAAGCTGAACCTCTTTGCTTTTAGGGCTGCAGGGAATCTGGACAAATCACTTATTAACAACTTGTAAATATATACAACTGTTGACTCCATGGATTACTGCAACAACCCGTAGTAATGACTCAGCACGTTGTAGAAGTAGAAGCAAGCTGAGGACACATGTCACCACGTTTTAGTTGCCAAACTTGGTGTGGCAACACATTTACCAATATGAAGCAAGCTCGTATTCATTTGGAGTTGTGTTTGTTGGAGCCTCGTCTCCTACAAG